AGAATAAAACATAAATTTCTGGTTTATTATACTACTTCCATTATACTCAATACAATATACGGAAATAATAGCCTGTTTATAGTCCTCTGTTCATTATCTTATACAAAATCATCAAGTTAATGAGTATCACTTATGTGGAACTTGATTCGATTAGGTTATTTATGGAAATTCTTAATGGACTCATTTATAATTTTAACTTTTTAAATAAAAATTCTAAAGTACTGAATGATCATTTATAAATGATTTCTTTAGAATAACCAAGAGAAAATAAAGACCTAAAAACCATATACAATTACTAAGATGAGTGGTTAAAAATATAAATGCAAAACCACTATCTATTGTTAGAGGAAAGGGTGATTATTCCCTAAGACATTCCATAGAAGAGATAATTTTTCTGATGCCTAATAGGGGTAATGGTCACAGATGTTCTGAAATCTGAATATGATTCTAAAGAAAAAGCAATGTGAATGAAAAAAGATAGGTTATTCTCCCAGGAACAAATTTAACTTTCTAAGTTTTCCAGTGTGTATCTTTACCGAACAGAACAATTTTTATGAAAATTATTCTCCACATACAAATTTTCAGGGGAACAATTTTATGTAGAAGTCATTTCTCCATGTGACTACAGTAACCAAATAAAATACTATGTTTGAAAGTAAAACACACTATTCATTGTGCACCAACATTGAGAAAGATTGTTCTTGGTAATTCTAAAAATTTACATGACACTCTGCAATTCAGTAATGTCCACCAGGAACATTTACCCAGAATAATGTATTCATTTCACAATGAAAGCAGAATGCCCATAACTCATCACCTCGCTCTGTAAAACAAGACCAGCTATTTAGTAGATTTGCAGTCTGTTCACAGACACGGGCTTACCATGCCGTGTCACTGTTATGCGGGTCTGAACCAAGAGGTACTCAAGTTAGGTTCACAGAATACCTTCATTTTGGAAAGAAACCTGAAAACAAGCAATTCTCAGAACCCAAAAATAAGTTTAAAAGTTGCTAGATATATCACAAAGGATCATTATACATATTAATGTCCACTGTGGGTGTCTCCAATGCTGTTAAGAATTCAGTAAGCGCCATAATAGGAACACTGTTATGCAGTTATATAATTTGTTTCCTGGATGTCTCTTAACTAGTGAATGTAAATTCTCAAGGATTTCGTTCAGGTCGCGTTTCCATTGTCCTTGAGGTGAGTTAAAACTCATATTGACCCTCCATCAACATAAGGCCTTGCCCTGTTCCACAGCCTCAGCAGTAACCCAGCCCCTGGTCCCGGAGCTGAAGAGCAGGGCCGAGGGCAGCCACCAGCGCCCGTCCCTGCTGTGCGTGGGCAGCTGAGAGGCGTGGCGCCGCCCCTGAGCCTTGAAAGTGGAAGTATTTCACAACCAATGCCCCTGTGAAGAGTCAGGAAGGAGAACAAAGAACTATGAGTTAAAAATTAAGACTCAAAATAGTTGAAGACAAAGTAAAAATATAACTAAAATAACTTTTAGATAATGCTGCTCTCTCATATCATGTAGGTTTTTTTGTTTGTTTGTTTTGGAGAGGTTTTTGCTATAGGGCGCCTGCGCTCACCAGACAGAGAGAGACATAGAGACAGAAAGCGAGAAATCACCCCCCAGGGGAGATGGCCACGCCGCAATCCCTTCTCCTCCATTCTCCTCTCGGGATCTTGGGCACGCACGCACACGCGCCTGGCGTGAGTTTTAAGCCACCAGGTCCGGGACGCGAACCGCAGTCGACTACGTGGGAGTCCAGCGACAGAGCCATTACGCTAACTGCTGGTCCCTCATATCATGTAGGTTTGAACAAAGCAGTTCCAGGTAAAAGTCCATGTGCTTAAGCACATGGTTTTGGGTGGTTTACATTAAAGTAGTTTTATTTTATGACTTGTGGTTTTATTATTCTATAACCACTTGTGGGTCAGCGATGTAACATTTCATGACTTTTGTACCTATGAAAGTGTCTGAAAGTGTCCAGGTGAGTACTATTATAACTGGTATTATTTCTCTTAGAGCCTTTGTTTTCCAGTATTATTATCAAAATAGTTCATTATTGATATGCCTTTTACAGGGTTTCTAGCAGAAGATTTTAGTTTGAGTTGAGCATTAGTGAAGCAGAGCAAATGTTCTTATTTTCCTTTTTCAGTACATGAAGGGGGTGAGGCGCAGGGGAGGTGGTGAGGAAGGAAGTGGTTCCTGTTAGCAAAGGTCCTTCCCCTCGCTTTCCTTACTCTTGGAAAAATAGGAAATCGAATTTTACAGAGGTTTTGGCTGGCTCATTGGCTCCAGAATTGTTACGGCTCCTGAATGTTTCAGGGCTGTCTGTGAATCCCCTCACACCACTTCTCGGAGTACCAGGCACGTGGCAGAGACTCGAAAGTGGAAAGGCACTGGCCAGTTGGGGCTGCAGTCCCCACTCTAACACATATGCCTTTCTAACCAAGAGTGTCTTTGGTTAATAAATGCAAATCTGTGGTTCATGATGAGAAGAAATTTCTCATGTAAATTGTATGTGCTGTGTTCCCAGTTAGCACCGGAGACATTATTCAGCACAACTATGCCCAAAGCACTATGCTAGGGGGATGCAAAGATTAGGGACCTGACCCCTTCTAAGAGTTCGAAGGAGACCCAGGAAGGGGACTCAGGTGACCACATGGCAGGGTTCGTAACTGAGGAAACAAGGAAATGTCCCCCTTCCCAGTTCACCTTCTCTCTCACCTGAATGACCAAGGATCCATGGACCAACTTCTCTCCCAGATTTTTCTGTAAGTTGGAATATCACTTTCACTTCACAATTCATCATTCAGATCTGTAAAACCCTGTCTTTTCACTGTCCTCCGTCTCTTCCCTTTCAGTCCAAAGAGAAACAAGAAGATGCTACTCTTAGAACCATATCTGAGCTAGAGGCAGAAGGTTCTGGGACAAACTGTTTTGTGGTTGCCATGTTGAAAAGCAGCAGTTAAAATGTTACTTAAAGACATCCTGGGAGGCATTGCCTGCCCTACTGTACTCTGGAGATTGATGTTCCCCTTCATTTTTTCTCCTACCATCCAGAAAGAATCATTTAAACTGTATCAAGAATAAACAGAATCACCTTCTTAAAATGTTTATGGGCTTTAGAAGTAATTTGGCATTTGCTTTTTATGGCTGGGAATCCAAACTAAAGCCAGTGCTATGTTCTGTTCTGAACGTTGCCGTGTTCAGTTTCTGTGTTCCGCCCCATTGGTTGTTACCCAGGTGTTCTGTCTGATTTTCCAGCTTCTCCATTATCTGGGATCTAGGCTTTTCCTCTGTGCCTTGGGCTGGTCAGAACTTGCAGGCCACTTCAGCTGCTCAGAGAGCTGGGGCATTCTCTTTCCTGACAAGGAAGGGTTATCCCAACCCCAGATACTGCTGGCCAGTCTCTTCCCACTCCTCTCTCTAAAAGCAAGGTCCTCAAACTTCAATAAGTCGTGCTGCATCCATTTTCTTACCTTTGAAAACGAGGTGAAGATCAGATAGAAAAGCCTTTGGAAAGATAACTCTCATTGCTGTCTGAGGAAGAGGACGTGTTTCCCTAAGTGTGAAGACAGAACCAAGAGTTAACTCACTGCACTGCTGGTTCTTGGCCTCTGTTCGGTCATTTTTCTGTTGGTTGGAGGCTGCTCTTCATGCTCAGAGTCTAATGGGTAGCCAGAGAGAGTACATATGAATTGAAGTCATTGGTAAAGGCAATTTCACTGCGAAAGAAACCAGTCATTTCCTTAAAATAGGCGTTAGCAATACAATTCCATTCAAAAAGGAAACGTCACAACACCATGAGAAAGGATTCACCATCAGTCACAAAACCTGATGTTTTCTTTGTTAAAGTGAAAAAGTATAAATAAAAACTTGGGTCTATCACTTCAGTATAATTGTAACGCTTCCTTATTGTAAATCTAAGGACTGATGGGACTTTAGTAATAATCCTCTCCAACTTTCTCACATTAGAGAAAACTACAGTCTCACGAGGTTAGCTACTAGGTAGTGACTTGGTTAGTGTGAAGTCAGAACCAGGTCTCAGTCTCAACTCAGTATCCTGTCTTCCATACTGCATCGCCTTAAAACGTTGTCTTCCTCCACTTCGCACCCTGCTCGTGCTGGCTTTCTTTGTGGAACATCCTTTATCCATCACTCAAAAGAATTAAATGGACCATCTTAGGATAAATAATTTACAAGGAGCTCATGCGAAAGCTTTGGGTCATCAGATCCCGTAGTATGAGCAAGAAAGAGGACTTGATCTGTCCTTGACTGGGCCTTTATCAGCTCCCAGGATTTTTGAAGACTTTAATCAAGAAAGCTCATGATTTGATAAAGTATTCATACCTTCCATCATCTGTAGTAGGTCTTGGCCGTGTCACTGTGAAGTTATCATCCTTCATATCTATCGCATCCATTTCAAAATGTACTATATTTAAATTTCCAACAAAATTGCAGCATACTCTTTGTCCACTGATGAAAGCATGCTAGCAAGCATAGGGACTGCGAAGTCACTCTGAGGGCTGTAAGCACCGGTGTGCGCATTCATTCGGCTTCCTGCAGAGCACAGCCAGCAATACCTCAGAGCTTGCTAGGCACAAGGTTAACCTTGGCCTTCTGCTATTTTGCCTTTCTCCAAGGGACATGAAGAACAGGGAGAGAACGACTGCAATACAAGGTGGAAAACCAGCGCCTCTTGATTTTAAAAACGTAGTTGAATAAAAAAGGAGTTTCCAGATAGTGTAGGGTAAAGGCAAAAAAAGAAATCCGTGGTATCTCTAGTATTTCAATTGAAAAGCTGCTCCTAGGCAGACAGGGGTACTTCAAAAGAGGCTTAGATTCACGAATAATCGTCTTCTGATTAAGAGTTATTAAATAGATCTCTCACTCACAGTGAGGCTTGTGGTGAAGAATAAGACCCCAGCAAGTTGCAGAGGTTTGTTCTCTGGGATTTATCAATTGCTTTTTTTGTGTGTTTTCTTACCAGGTGAAAAACGCAGCTGCCAATGTACTCAGGGAAACATGGCTGATTTACAAAAACACAAAGCTAGTAAAAAAGATAGATCATGCAAAAGTAAGGAAACATCAACGAAAATTCTTGCAAGCTATTCATCAGTAAGTACTGTCTTTCATCTCTATCTTGCTGTTGGACCCTTGGCTTTCGACCCCTGCACTTGGTTCTTCTTTTCTCATGAGGAAAGGAAAAAGAAAATAATGTGTTTGCTCACAGAAGATACTACCTGGCAATTTAATAATGCCATCAATAAAATCCTGAGAAAAATTTTAGTCTTTTTATGATTAAAAGTCATTTATTATTAGGATAGTTATTTATTACATTAATTAAAAGGTCTTTTGCAGTTTCTCTATAGTTTAGTTAAGATTGTATTTTCTCATTTTTGTATGCAATTTGCTCTAGGATGTTTTGCTTGTATCTACTGCAAAATCTTAGAAAAAAATAACATTATGTGACTGTACTGACATATCATAAAACATCATTATACAAATGTAGTACATATCATTGATTTAATACTTGAATTTTACATTAGCTTTTAATCAGAATTTGGGGATTGTTTAAATGCTCTGTGTTCATTATATATTTTATAGTTTCTTTAGACCGTGTACTCTTTTATCACTATTCTAATTTTATCCAGGCCACCGATATTCATTTTCTAACTCTATGCTATTTCATTTTTATATTAAATATCTATTGTAGACTTTTGAAGTAAAAATATTTATTTAGTAAGAGTTGATGGTAATTTGAAAGAACAGGGTCTCTCTCCTCCAGCTGGCCCTGTCGTTACCGTAAGTATCATTCATGTGGGTATCAGCCGTGATGCCATGCAGACTTGCTCTTAACTTAATGCCGTTTCTGCATGGGGAAGAGCAGACGCGGGCACATTTGCAGCTCATGAAAGGAAACCTACCAGAGTAATAATGGAAACGTAGGTAATACTAGGGTTTTGGGCTGTGCAGGAGATTAGTCTTCTCAGAGCCAGCTAGCACAGGAGATGAGCAGAGCCTGAGGCTGGAATTTATATTGTGCACATTTAGGTCATTCACGTGTGTTAGGCTTCCACTGACATTCTTTGTTACCTGTTACACATTCATCTCCTGTCCTTTCACCTGCCCATTCTATCCAAATGCACTGCTTCGATAATCACTGGACATGTAGAATATGCCTGCAACTATGGGCATACGCACACTTCTGTGGAATCTGCCACCTTTCTTAATAAAAATAAATGCTACTATGTGCAGAGGCACTGACCCCATTGCCACACTCAACTACTGACTCGTGCTCCTTCCCCATGCCAGCAGCACGTTCTCCTAAGGAGAATGACTTAGCTCTATGACTTGACTAAATATACAGCTATGCAAAATAAATAAATAAATGATAAATAAATAAATGAAATTAAAAAAGACAAGGCTAGAATTTTAAAGATAACACTCTTTTAATAAGCCTTATCTGTGTCCCACAAGTGTCTTACCTCTCCATTTCCCCCCCAG